CTGAAGTAGCATTACATTATTATTAATATTCCAGAAGAATATTATGTTTATTGCTCCTGAAGAGCAGATCTTCATACAGATAAATATCTTATAATGATAACATACTCCTATAGAGTTAATATTTTTAAACAAGAGTTTGTTGGTGCTCCTGAAATAGCACGACATTATTAATATTCTAAAAGAATATTAATTACTCCTGAAGAATATGATATTACAATTTTAATATTCCAGAAGAATATTGACTCAATGCTTCTGAAGAAGTACAACTTAAATTATATTTATTTTAAATGAATATAGTGTTGATATTCTCAAAAAAATACAACCCACGTTATAAAAATATTCTAAAAGAATATTAATTGCTCCAGAAGAGCATGATATTACTAATAGACGTATTCATCTAAATTATATGCCCGACCATTCCCAAGATATGTGACCACCACATGTGCAATTCTCCTTCATAGTTAATGATTGATATCCAAGTTTGTAGCCACCCAAATTTATCATTAATTCCGTCTTGTACCATTTTTGGAGGTTGAGGCAATGCTGTTTGCGTAAGTTTACAATTCATCTTTATATTCGATAGAAGGTAATATTAATTTTACGTGTATATGTATGCATAATTATGTCACGGTATCTAGTTAAATTTTAGTGACAAATTTTAAGTTTATATTAAACAAAGTGGGCACTTAATTATTGCGTTTTGTGATTATATAAGTACCATTTATTAAATTAGATTCATAGCTAAATATCCATTACTATTGTTTATCGTTTGATTAATTATCTCGTTCTTACCCTTATAATACATGATTTTAATACTCGTAAATTTGTTTATTATAAAACATTTTTGCTCTTGAATCAGCACATTATTATTAATATTCTAGTTATATTTTACTTGCTCCCGAAGAGCATAATTAGAAAATTGTGTTTTTTACTTCTGAAGAGTAAATTCTTGTATAACTTTCAATATTCCAGAAAAATATTGATATATTGCTTTTAAAGAAGTAATAATAAAATACGACGTAGCATACATTTTGAAGAATTATATCTCGTTATGTTCTTGAAAAAACACAAATAATTCAATACTGGCTATAATTTTTAAAAGGAAAACAAGTTCCTTATTTTATTAATATTCGAGAAGAATATTGATTTATCGCTCTAGAAGAGCATACTATTTGGTGTTTCGATATTCTCAAATAATGATATGCTATTGGAGAGCATGTCATTATAATTTCAATATTTTTAAGAAAAATATTGATATATCGTTCCAAAATAAGTAAAAATAATATAAACTAGTATTATTGAAGAATATAATATTGTGTTTCTAAAGAAGCACAAATTTATGCATATTAATATTTTAGAAAAATGTTATGATTAATTTAAATGTGTCGATATTCCTTAAAAATATTATTCTATCACTTGTAAATAATCATAACTAGATATATATCAATATTTCAGAAAAATATTTATGATTGCTCTTGAAGAAGCAATAATTCATGTTAATGTGCTCTCGAACTAGCATATTTTCAAAGAATATATCATTTTGAATTTGTGTTTATCCCTGGAGGAAAACATAAAACCTATGTTACGTGGATATTGATCATTATATGATTATATAATATTTAATTATATTTTTCGAAATTAAAAAATTGGATTATATCTTATATTGAACCAGAAGTTCAATTTGATTGGCATGACCAGTTGGACCATCACTAGATCAACAATGATGCGAAATCAAAATGAAGAGCTAGAAGATTCTTCAATCCTATAAATTTCTATATATCATTTGTTCTCATTATCGACAATTTATCGTTAAAGGTCACTAGCTAAAATTGGGATTGAATTCCCTATATATCTGAAAATTAATTAGGGTGATCTATGGGGCCCCGTCACCCACCACATTGATCATCTAAATATTATTTGTATATATTAAATTTGATACAAATACTAGATCATTGCATGGTATTCGCAACCTGAAGTTTGCGAAATTATTGCTCAAATTTTAAAGTATGAGCATAATTTTCAGATTAAATAATCAAAACTGTGTCTTGTTAATGTTAGTGTGTATAAATCTCAACATTTTAATGAGTGAGATGTCGATAAATGATTTAACAAGTTTGTTTGTTAAACGCCTCCAATTAATTTAATTGAGAAAAATATATTTTCCATTTCCGTTTAGGGAATGTTATTACGTATCTTGTCAATATCATAGTTCTTCCTATTAAAATTGGCTTATAGCCAGAGCCTAAATTTTTCATCTAATTATTTTGATAGTGCAGTATGTATAAAATTGATCCACTACAATGGACTGAGATAGAAAGTAATGAATACTAAGAATAAATGCGTAGTATGAACCCTTATTACAAATGGTGATATTTTATAATGCAATAAAAATATTTGTCAATTTAATTTAACAATTATCTCAACATTAGGGGAGGAATTAAAAAGTTGAAAATAATGCGTCATCATCTAAATCCTCGCTAAATATCATTCGAACCAGAAGTTTGAAAAAGAATTTATTTAGATGCATTTATTGATCAAAGAGATCAACAATATCTCACACACCAATTTTTAATGCTCTAATACGAACTGATGTCTTAAGGGACAATTTGTTAGCATTATATTTGACATATCTATGGCACGCCTGAAACGTGATGGTGTTCGATTCTCATACAAAAATCTTCAAATGAAAATGGAGAAATTAGCAAAGATGGTTTCATTAAGGAGGCATATACTCTTAATGAGTATTTAGACATAACAAATTATAAAACCTCAGAAGAGGTTCAGGTACCTGATATATTGAAAATTGAGATATCTCAATAAGTTATGTCATCATGGAGAAAGAAATAGAATTGAACAAGAAAAGAAAAGGTTGTCGACAACAGTTTTACACATGATGTGCTACATCATATAGCGAGGAATCAAAATAAATTCGTTGAAAAATATCGATCAAAATAATGATTGGCCAAATAAAATGGATGCGTTCAAAGTAAAATTGAACTTACTTAAGAAATCTGAAATTTCTGGATATACAGTTCAAACACTAAGAGGTGTATACTTGTGCGAAATAAAAATAGAGAAGGTAAAGTCGTAATGTGAAATGTACGACTTTTTACATAATGAATTTCGCGAACACTTGTATACATAGATTAGTTATCATGTGGTGGAAGTAATCACTGGTATTTACCTTGTTAGTGTGATAATGCATGAAATTTGATGTGCCTGTAATAAATATGATTATAGATAATTTATCTTGTATTATTTTGATACCATTCTGGAATGATTAAATATGCCTGAAGCATAATTCAAGTGATATTATCATGAGGGGGAGTGCATACGCGTTGTACTCTTTTTCCCTTAACCAAGGTTTTATTCTATTGGGTTTTCCTGGCAAAGTTTTTAATGAAGCAACTTTTATAGCGTATTAAAAAAAATAGTGTACTCTTTTTTCCTTCATTAGGATTTTTTCCCATAATGTTTTTCCTAATAAGGTTTTAATGAGGCATATTCTTCGTGTAATTAGTGTCTATAAAATGCAAGACATTTACCTTCAAAATAATACGTTATATGTATGAGACTCTTGAAGAAATCAACAAGAGTTATTTTTCGAATTATCATGTTACTACAGTTATCAAAGAATGATAAAGTATCCCTTACGAAGACGGTTTTATTTGAAGATTGTACAAGACAACATGAAGCATTTCACCAAAATTGTAGTATTGAAGATAATGACGTACAAGACGATGATGAATTAATACAAGAATTAAAATCAGGGAGAGTAGCTGTACTCTTTTTCCTTCGATCAAGTTTTGTCCCACTGGATTTTCTTGACAAGGTTTTAACGAGGCAGTATCTTATTACTCCAAATTATTTTTACTCTTTTTTTTTTTCATTTTTGTCCCGTTGGATTTTTGCTAATTAATGTTTCAATGAGATAAATATTTTATAATGTGCTATTCAAGGAGGAGTGTTGTAAAAAGAAAAGTTCATTAGGGTTTATTGGTGAATGATTATTATACCTCTGCAGCCCTAAAAATTATTACCGTTGTACCATTGATTCTGCCCTATAAATAGAGGATTTTGGTTCTTAATAAAATACACACGTCTATTGACTTCTCCCTATTTTCTTCTCTTTTCACAACATATTCTTATTTTTCAATTAGAACAATTTTTGTTTTCTTATTTCTTATCATCCCTTTTCTGAACACCAAAATTAGTATTGTTTTGAGGGAGGCGAGATGATTTGAAAAGAGATGTAATGAGTGAAAAGGACAATGTGGGAGTTGGGGAGGTCTTTCTTTCTCTTTTTCATTTATTTTATTAAAAATATTCAGTAAACACATATATAGTGTTTGATTGCGAGCATGAAATTTGTATGAATATAAAATAATTTTACTAGAACTTATTTGTATGAAAATTATTAATTAAATATATTTTAATTGATTTAGCTTTCCATATAGAAACTATTATACTTGTTCATTTTTTATTGATGCGTAGATGAGAGATGAGATTAATGAGAGAATTAGAGAGTGAAGTATCTGGAAAATAAAAATAACCCACATCTAAAGAAAATTATTTTCTTGATTTTTAGGAAAATAATGTCACATGACCAAAATTGTAAAATATTTTTTATGGAAAAAAAAATTGTTAATTAAACACCCCAAAAATGAGAATTTAGATGAAAAATGACATTTTTCATAAAAAATAAAATCAATCAAACACTGTTTTGTTGTATATAAACTTTTAATTGATACAAAATTATTGAACAAAGATCATAACTCATACCTTATCTACAATTCTTCTTTTCTTCTCCTAGAAGAATTTTAAATTCTTCATTCAACCCTAAATTTTAAGTAAATCAAGAAAGAGAATAAAGATGGCAAAAATGTCTCACGCTTGCTCTGACTAGAAATCAGATCCGGAACGAGGGAATGATCCTTTGCCTCTATACCGTTCCAATTTCATTTTATTTTTTATAGACAATTTATATGTGAATAAAAATTATAAGTAAAAATAAACAATCAATTTCAACGGACGATAATCAATCCTCCACGTGGATGCCATTAATTACCAAACCCATCCTTCAAGATTTTTGTTGTTGGAGATACAAACAAATCTTGATTGACAGTAATCATTGAAGAACCCAAGATACAGTGAAGAAGCATTTCATAGAGAAGATGCCTCGAAGTGTATTATCAGGGTCGATCAATTCTCCGAAGGTGGACCTCATTGTGGACTTGGGAAATCCCTTTCTCAATCTAACTTTTGATGGTTTTTTGAAGATTGGCACTGTAAATTCTTCTGCACTCTTCGTCGTATTGGATGGATTTAATTTAATTGAATGGTTTTCATTCAATTTTCTTTGGGTATTATAATATTTTATTGAAATTTGGTTATTAATTGTTTTCCCTTTTTCGTTCTGATTCAGGTTGCTGCAGCAAGAGTAGCTGCGGAGGAAGCATATTACGTTGTCAAACGAGGTTTTCCACTTTTATTTTTCTCATGAAGTTGTTGAAATCTTTCCCTAATTAATTGATTGCGTCTTTACTATTACATTTTGGGATAGCAGAATAGTACTGGATTATGAATACTTAATTTTGATTGTTGAGAAAGTGAGATTAACAAAATAAGCTTGTCAGATTAATCTTGTGCACACTACTGTGAGATTATCTCCTTGGAAAGGCATCAAGCAGACATGCTTATTAGTAGTCGCTCAGCTTATCGAACTCCAATTGTTGATTATTGGATAATGTAAACTGTGTTAGGAGTAATTGAGGCTTGAATACAGTCATTAAATAGTTGGATACAAATTTATGAAAATCAATATTTAGTCTCTAGCTAAAAACCTGGGTAGCGGCATAATGCTAATCTTGGTTTTAAATCAGAAATAGTTATTGGGACTGCAAATTCCAATTCTGGATGAGAAACTTCTTGTTATATTATATGTAAGTATTTATGCATATATCTTGTTAATCAGGTTAGGAGATATAATGTCAAAAAGTGAAGGGATAAATATATGGCTAAATCAAACGAGTAATAGTATCAAGATAACTCCTAGCATCACCTCGAAGAGGGAATATTTCTGGAATGGTTAAGTGATATTAAGTAATAGAGAATTTATGGCGTCTCTAGAAACCTCTAATATCGGTTTATCTATGTAGAATTTTTTTTTTTTTTTTTATTATTTTTTTTTTTTTGACATATTGCTGCTTTAATTTTGCAGGGAGTCTTTCACACCACAACTTCGAGCAGACGGTGAGAAATTTATTGTGTGAAATCTGTTCATTCCATAGGGTTATGTTCTTGTTGAGAGAATACTACAAGTAGGTAATCACACTATAGCTTGCTTTTGTAATAGTGCAAAGCTGATTAAAGCATGTTTAGCTAAGCTCCAAAGTTCAAGTAAACAAGTTAGTTTTAAGTAACTAATTTTTTATTGATCAATTTTGAAAGATGCCCCAATAAAGGTTTTAGTAGATCTAGACCGTTAGATTAGCTTTAAGTTAAGGGCTAAGATTATTTGTCAAATTCGTAAGTAGGAACAATGGTCTTTATTTCTGAAAATACAATAACTAGCTTTTGTATGGCAGTCATTTTGAGGAAAGCTGTCTTGTTGTTAGCCTAGTTTTACAAATGATAATCTTAGCCCCTGTCTCCATCTCTCTCTCTCTCTACTTCATTTTTGTTACATATGGCAATCTCTGATTTCACCCTTTCTGAGCAGTAGCCAATAAGGGAAGGAAGAATAGAATTTTAAGAATGTGGAATTTGGTCTGTAATCGTATCCTAACGCCTGCTTTTCCAAGTTACTTGTATAGTTCCACATAGAATCTGGATGTTTATCACTAGTTAAAATGTTCCGAAGCTAAAATTTAGTGAACCACCAGTACAATGTTCATTTAAAACAATAGGATCTAATCTTGTTTTGGATTATTTGAGCACATTATGTGGCTCCAAGGTCCAAGCATTTCTGCATAGTGCTGGTTGTAAGATTAACAAATGTTTATTTTCGACTGATTGATTACTCAATCATTTTGCAGAAGAATGCCATGTTAGGGGGTGCATTGACGGGGGCTGTCATATCAGCAGCCAGCAACAATGGTCGAGACAAGATTGTAACGGATGCCATAGCTGGAGGTGCCATTGCAACTGCTGCAGAGTTCCTCAATTACCTGACCTGAACAGAGGGTAGCTATCGCCTGCTTCTTGGGTACTTGCAATGAAGCTGTCGTACTTCTCTGGTAACCACAAGCTCGAATATTATGATGTTTCTTGGACTTTGTTTGATATTTGCAAATAAATATGATATTTCTTCGACTCAGCTTTCTTTAGGGCATACCTACTTGAAGTTGATGTGCAATGCATAGTTCCTTGTAAGATTATATGAGCATTTTGCTCGCATGATATTTGTGCCTAGTACTGCGTGTTATAGTTTTTCATCTATTTCTCAAGGATCGAATGCATGTATAGCTTGCTGTCCCCATTTCTCGTCATGTCAACTGGATCCAATGTCATCACAGGATAAATTTCAACGAACAATAACGGAACTGCGATACAGAATCCGTAAGTTACTTATAAGTAAAATAATGTAGTTACCTATAATAATTTCTTCGGCTTGACCAAGCAAGCTCCAATGAGAAATGTGGAACCTTCTCAACTTTAGAAGCAACAATCCTAAAGACATTTAAATGTCCTCGTCTTTTAAATAAGGTAGTTTAATATGGTATTAGAGCACACAAAAGAATTGAAAGGGTTTAGTCTTGAAACAGGAATGCAACGCATGAAATATCTCGAGTCTTCCCTTTATCTCAGCCAGAAAGAATTGGAATTTTACTGTTGAAGGCGAACGGGAGAGTACGATATCAAGTTCACACAGTGTTATACATTAAGGATAAAATTTCACAATTACAAAAAGAGAAAAAAATTAAAAATAAAAATACAACAATATGTGAGGGTCTCGACTTCTCTTGATAGAGTTGACATTTCCGTATGGAATTCCGAGACTTTATTGTATCATAAGGAATGACAAGATTGACCTTTTTAAGATGACTTCAGTAGTTAAATGGCATATGCCCCACTTGTCGGCTTCAGATTCTGACACCACTACGAAGGTGGTGAGAATTGAAACACCCACATTGAAGTTGTGGCTGTCGACGAGTTTCCTTCCAGTTGTCGATTCTCGTTAGCAAACCCTTCTTCGAAACCATGACATCAACATTGTGAGGCGAGAATATAAACATGTTACAAAGAATGTTCTAGATTAGAGACGTGTGACATCTTTAGTCGATCAAGTGTAGGCATCGGTATCGAAATTTTATGAATAAAATATTTTATATCACTTGTAAATGGCTTGTCGGTAACGTTACTTTTAATGGTGAATTTGTCATTTTGCTATTGTCCATTGGTCCAAGACATCGACAATTGATAGCAACTTATACCTAATACTATTGGTTAATTATTAAGCGCATGAAAGTCGCTTGGGGGCCACAAGATTCCGGAAATCTCGAAGATATTTTATGACCCCGTTTGGTTTCCATTATTTAAAAAAATTATTTTTTCCCTTTTTATTTTCAATCATTCAGTTTTTCATAAAATAATATTACACGTAAATCGAAAATTTTTAAATGTTTTTCAATCACATATTTTCCAAAAAAATACTATTTCAAAAATTAAAATTGTCATGTAATGGGGGCCAAACAGGGGCTATGTATGATAAGATATTTTGATAAAAGTCGTTGACAAATAAATCTTGATTCTTGAATAATAAGCACACACGCAAAGTCCTCAAATAAGTTTTCCATTAGAACTAATAAGAGCTTTGAAAAGTATTATGTTGAGGTTTCGTAGAAGCAAACTTAAGGATTTTTAAATGGAGATTTGATCAGGTTTTACACCAAGGGGTATGTTTGATTGACTTTATTTTTAATGAAAAATGTTACTTTTTCACTTAAGTTTCTATTTTTGAGATGTTTAATTGATATTTTTTTCATAAAAATTATTTTTCAAAAGTTGGTCACTTAACAATGTTTTCCTCATAAGTTAAGGAAAACATTTTTTTGTAGGTGGATAGGTTTTTATTTTCTAGACAATTCATACTTCACAAAATAATTTCTTGGTTGAAAATTAAGCAATCAAACACATTTAATTGACAGTTTTCATTCAAATAAGTGCTAGACAATTGATACAAATTCCGTACTTATAATCACACATACCTTAAGTGTCACTTTATCAAAACGTTTTTCCTTTATCAGAGTTTTAAGACTTGCTACGAAGAGCTTGGTATTATCTTTAACTTGTAATTTTCGAAAAAGGGTATAATGAATCCGGGCGGCAAAGTAGGTTTCATTGATAATCAGCCAAAAAATTGACACTCGATTTGATTGATAAACAAATTTAAATAATCTATTATATTTTAAATATATATATATATATTTCTTAATCTCAATTTATTCGAATCAGTATAACATGCAAAGGCCATCGAATTTATGCTTCATTTTGTCACGATTGAATTATTAAATTCACTATTTTATTTAAATTGAATTTTCTCATGCAAGTTTATTAACTCGATAAACAAAAATAATGACATAATAGATGATGGTTTGAACATCGTATATATTTATATCGTGTCAACGTATATGTATCTATATAGATTGCATCGAGAAATTAATCTAAACATAATATTATATATTGGTTTATTTAAGTTCAATGTATTAATACAGGTAGAATGATATCTTCAAACTATTTTTTTTAATTATTAAAAAAATTTAAGTGCTATTGAATTTATAATTCATTTTGTCACTGTCACGCGTGCCATTGAGTTTCATAATTTTATTTGAAGGAAGCACTTTGTCAAAATCTATTTGACAAACAGAAAGTTAGATCGATCGACTTAGTTGAAATGAATTAGTGACCTCCAATTTTATTTATTTATTAATTATAAATTACTTCTCTCTTTCATGTGTAGTCTTTGCTTGATATTAAAATCAAAATTTTCATTAAATTTTGATAAAAGTTGAAAAGTTGTGAACCTAATAAAATATATGGTTAAAATTAATTGTTAATTTTAATTTTAATTTAAATCAAAATCTAAATTTTAATCCAAGTAAATAATTATTTACTAAAGGTTGATGGTGCATTCTTGTAAGCATTGGCTTTGATAATTTCAATTTTGGAGGATAGGTAATAAGATAATGCTAATTATATGCTAACGAAAGTGACTCTGATAGGGATTTAATGTCAAAATTTTTGGAGAAGCAAGCTCCACGCCTTCTCTTTTTTCCAACACTTATTAAAAGAAAAATTGCTGGAGACCTCTCCAACCTATTAATGCTATATAAATAGATCGTCAATCTTTAGTTTTTGGCGATGGTCCTAACACGCCACCGCGTGTTAACTCGGGTGAGCTTTTTTGTCATAAGGCTCGAGGTGCTCATCTTGAGGTGGAGAGTGCATAGTAAGAGATCATGTTGATGCATGCAGTCGAAGTCGACTGTGGCGGTTGTTACCTCATCAAATATAAAATTGGCAACGGATTCTGTCCGCCAAGGCCAAGCTCTACAAAAATAATAAATGTTGATAATTTAAGCTTTGTTTGAGTCTAACTTTTTGTGAAAAATGAATTTTGTAATAATGATTTTTTGAAAAAATGTGAAGTTAAAAGTGAGAAAAATATGAGTTTACATGCAAAATTATTTTATTGTGAGAATGTGTAGTTGAAAATACGTTTGAGAAAGTCAAATGAGGGCTTAATTGTCAAGAATTAAAGGTTGAACGTCTGCTTGATATAACAACAATAGATCGAGGACTTTCGCTGAAACTTTTCTTGATGACCTTGTCAAACAATGATCTTAACCATTAAAAATTCAGGGAATCATCCGTTTCGTCTATTTTATATTTGTCAAAATCAAATACATATAATCAGGACACAAAAAAATTAATTTTTTTCTTAATCGTATCGAATCCTGTACGCCAAACATGTCATAACTGCACTATATTTATATTATAAATAGGAACCAACAAGTCTATCAAGAAACGCCTACTTGAGAGCACGCACTGCAAAGAATTCATTCAATTGATAAAATCTCTCCACTTAATTTTTCCTTTCTCACATCTGAAGAATATGTCATCAGGCTGTAATTGTGGTTCGAGCTGCTCCTGCGGAAGCAACTGCAGGTAAACATATTTTCGACTTAATATTCCAACTATATAAAGAATTTTATGTTGATTTACTTATAAGTTACTTTTTTGGTATTGGAAGTTGCGGCAGTATGTACCCGGACGTCGAGAAGAGCACGACAGTTACCATCATCGAAGGGATCACACCAAAGAAGATGTAAGTCTAATCAAAGGGGTCGATTAAATAATTTCTTTTTGAATTCTCTGATCTATTCATTATTACATCTATTAAGAGATCGAAAAACTTATAATCCTTATAATAGGCCTTGTTAGTTTTAATCTTCGCTCTTTTAAATGGGAATTGAAGCAGTTGATAGTCGATGTTCATGAATTGTTTTATTACGATACTTCTATTAATTCGTGCACTTTAAATAATATTTTAGGTAGGTGCAATCAAGAGATTATATTTAGCTAAAGGTTTTCCTATTAAAACACTACTTTATTTTTTATTTTTATTTTTTTATTTTCATATTACAGAAAATATAGAGATATAGCCCTTGTTTAGTAAAAATTAAAATTCAGATTTTAATTTAAGTTAAAATCAACTATTAATTTTAATCACATATTTTGTGGATCTACAACTTTTCAACCACGCATTTCATCAAAATTTATCAAAATCTGCTAAAAATCTAATTTTAATCTCAATCAAATATAAGGCTTTGATTTAAATCTTTAATATAAGGGCAAAGCGATTTGTTGATCAAATCAATTTCTTTGAATTTGCTTATAATCCACTCGAACTTAATTTTAATAAATTCCAAGTATTCGGTAGAATCAACTAGTATTCATTAATGGTATTCATCGAGTTTTTCGCTTCTTGGTGCATCAAGAGCCTTTTCAGTCTCCATAAACTAATTCAACCAGAGTTATTTCCACTTGTTGACGTATATTTTCATTTCTTAATTTTACGGAACCGTTGCAGGCAGTCCGACGGATCTGAGAAAAGCTCCAGTGCTGAAGGAGGCCATGCCTGCAAGTGTGGATCAAACTGCACATGTGACCCATGCAACTGTTGATGACAGAATATGGTTTAAGCCCTTCAAAGTAGCTATGGATGATGTTGTGTGTACTAAACATAATATAATAAGACAGCCTTAAATTGGACAAATTCATTTACTGGATTTGTCTGGTGTAGTGTTTACTGGCTATATTATCTCTGTAATTTATATGTTTGCAGTTTGGTTACTGGCTTCAATTTCTGTGTGAAGACTTGACATCAATATAGCTCCTTTATTGTTATGTAAACTTCCAATCAATTACCTTGTCCTTTTAGAAGTACAGATGTGTTGTCCTCATCTTCGTGTCCCCTCGACCGTCTAGCCAATCAAATTTTGACATATTGCGTTAAAAAATTGAGTTAAATTTAGATTTTTTACGAGATCTGCTACGTGTGCAGAAAATGTGTCGTCAGAATTAATATAGATGATACTTGACAATTTTTTATTGGACAATGACCAAAAAAAGGACAGACAAAGAGATGCTGCCATAGCATCTGCATTAATTATGGCTACACTGTTTTCGTACATTTATTATTATTATTATTATTATTATTATTATTATTATTATTATTATTATTATTATTATTATTATTATTATTATTCTTGTTGTTGTTGTTGTTGTTGTTGTTGTTGATGTTGTTGTTTTTTGAAGTATTGTTTTTTCAAATTTATAAGTTGGTTAAAAATCATTTTTATCTTTATATTACGTGAGATTCTCCACTTTCATTCACTTTTTATTTATGCATTAAGTAGAATTCACTCCTTGTAGCACGACGAGAAAATGTAAAAATATTTACCAACTTGTGATCATTGTAGTTTAAGAATAAAGATTGTGATTCAAATTTAGTCTAAAGTCGATACATTAATTAAAATCAAAAGGCAAGTCACGATTAACCAATTCAATACAATTATTAGGGGTGTAAGTGGTCCGATTTTACCGATTTTTGACAGATTTTCAAACCGAACCGTTTAAAACGGTTTGAGAAAAATCCAAACATAAGTCAAACCATTTTGAATGATTTGAAAAAAACTTAAACATAAACCTAACGGTTTGGTCCGGTTTTAAACCGCCGGTTTCGCCATATATTTTTTTGCCCGTCTACTTTTATGTCATTAATTCATTGAATTCAATATATATTTATATCTTACTAGTAATAAATCTAAAACAAACTAAGTCCCTGTTTGAATCAAATTTTTGGGATAAAAAAAATGAAAATTTGGACCGTTATCCCACAAGTCCGCCGCCATTGTTGACCAGCTGTTTCATGTGTAGGACCCAACCTCCTCTCAAACAGTCAATTTTCTCATTATGGTGATATGAAAAATATGGCTCAAATATGGGCTAAAATATCTACCATAAATTTAAATACCAATTAAATCAAAGTGAAATCACAATAAACTAAAATATAGTTTTTTCTTCTTTTTTTTTTTCACCTTTTTAAACTAATGACGATATAATAACGTTACAATAAAAGTCTACTAAACTAGATATAAGGTCCAAAAAATATAATAATATCCAACAAGACTTCATGATCATCATATCTGAAAAAAGGATACTAATTAAATAAAGAGAATAACCAACCACAATAATAAAACAATTATTTACAATATCTAAATATAACAATTATATAAGTTTACGTTTATATGATGTTACGAAATGTATTTAATTTCAGACTCTTGCCTTAATTTGCTCAAAAAAATTATTGATCTGAAACTTTATTCATAACAAATATTATCACCGAAAGTCTTGTTTTGTCTCCGAATTGGTATAATGGATTTCAATTCAATTTTGAAGAGGCGTGAAAAACCTAAGAAAGAAGTGTGTGGTGACGGTGGCTCAAGACTGTGTTGGAAGTCGACTGAAGTTCATCTAAATTCTGAAGAGGAAAAAAGTTTTTGATAAATTATGTTAGTCTTGAAATTATTAGATATATATTAGAATTATTGGATAATAATAATAATATATCTGTATTAGAAAATTAGAAATTGACAAAAATACCCACAAATGACAAAACTATTGAATTTTACATATTTGGATGAATTTTCAAAAAAATTCATTTTTTCATTTTTTTATTTTTATATATATTTTCGCCGGTCCAATTTGATTTTAAACCACAATTAAAATTCTCAAACCTAAATCAAACCATTTTGACCGGTTTGGTTTGGGTCAAAATCATTTCGTTGACCGGGTCCACGTGGCACCAAACCAACGGTTTCTAAAATGCGATTTCGGTTCGATTTTTCGATTTTGCGATTTTTGCTTACAGCCCTAACAATTATTACAATGCATTCTCGTCTGTCAACATGAAAAAAATTATTTTTATTCTTTTAAGTTTAACTGAAGGTCGGGCCGAGTCCACGTTGCAAGTCTAAATTTTGTTTTTTCTTTAATTATTTTTCAAAAGTTGGTCTTTTAACAATGCTTTCCTCAGAAGTTAAGGAAAACATTTTTTCCTAGGTGGATAGGTTTCTATTTTCTAGACAATTCACACTTCTCAAAATAATTTCTTAGTTGAAAATTAAGCAATCAAAAACATTTAATTGACAGTTTTCAATTAAATAAGTTCTAGACAATTGATGCAAATTCCATACTTATAATCACACACATCTTAAGTGTCACTTTATCAAAACGTTTTTCCTTTACCGGAGTTTTAAGACTTGCTACGAAGAGCTTGGTTTTATTTTTAACTTGTAATTTTTTCGAAAAAGGGTATAATGAATCCAGGCGGCAAAGTAGGTGTCATTTATAATCAGCCAAAAAATCGACACTCGGTTTGATCAATAAACAAATTTAAATAATCTATTATATTTTAAATTTATTTTTTTTAATCTCAATTTTTTAGAAATAGAATAACATGCAAGGCCATCGAATTTATGCTTCATTTTGTCACGATTGAATCATTATATTCATTATTTTATTTTAATTGAGTCATGTTATGCAATTTTATTTACTTGACAAACGAAAATAATGATATAATAATGCCATCGAATTTATGCTTCATTTTGTCACGATTGAATCACTAAATTCACTATTTTATTTCAATTGAGTTTTTCCTGCAAGTTTATTGACTCGATAAACAAAAATAATGACATAATAGATGACGATGGTTTGAACATCGTATATATTTATATCGTGTCAACGTATATGTATCTATATAGATATCATTGAGAAATTAATCTAAACATACTGTTATATATTGGTTTATTTAAGTTCAATGTATTAATACAAGTGGAATGATATCTTCAAACCTTTTTTTTTATTAAAAAAATTTAAGTGCTATTGAATTTATAATTCATTTTGTCATTGTCACGCGTGCCATTGAGTTTCATAATTTTATTTGAAGGAAGCACTTTGTCAAAATCTATTTGACAAACAGAAAGTTCGATCGATCGACTTAGTTGAAATGAATTAGTGACCTCCAATTTTATTTATTTATTAATTATAAATTACTTCTCTCTTTCATGTGTAGTCTTTGCTTGATATTGTCATTAAATTTTGATAAAAATTGAAAAGTTGTGAACCTAATAAAATATGTAGTTAAAATTAATTGTTAATTGTTAATTTAAATAAAAATCTAAATTTTAATCCAAGTACATAATTATTTACCAAAGGTTGATGGTGCATTCTTGTAAGCATCGGCTTTGATAATTTCAATTTTGGAGGATAGGTAATAAGATAATGCTAATTATATGCTTACGAAAGTGACTCTGATAGGGATTTAATGTCAAAATATTTGGAGAAGCAAGCTCGACACCTTTGCCTTTTTCCAACACTCATTAAAAGAAAAATTGCAGTTGACATCTCCAATCTATTAATGTTATATAAATAGATCGTCAATCTTTAGTTTTTGGCGATGATCCTTAACTCGCCACCGCGTGTTAGCTTGGGTGAGCTTTTCCGTCATAAGGCTCGAGGTGCTCATCTTGAGGTGGAGAGTGCATAGTAAGAGATCATGTCGATGCATACAGTCGAAGTCAACTGTGGCGGTTGTTACCTCATCAAATATAAAATTGGCAAGGGATTCCGTCCACCAAGGCCAGGCACTACAAAAATAATAAATGTTGATAATTTAAGCTTTCTTTGAGCCTAACTTTTTGTGAAAAATGAATTTTGTAATAATGATTTTTTGAAAAAATGTGAAGTTAAAAGTGAGAAAAATATGAGTTTACGTGCAAAATTATTTTATTGTGAGAATGTGTAGTTGAAAATACGTTTGAGGAAAATTGAGTTTTTAGAGAATGGGGCTCAAATAAGGGTTTAATTGTCAAGAATTAAAGGTTGAACGTCTGCTTGATATAACTACAATAGATCGAGGACTTTCGCTGAAACTTTTCTTGAAGACCTTGTCCAACAATGATCTTAACCATTAAAAATTCAGGGAATCATCTGTTTCGTCTATTTTAAATTTGTCAAAATCAAATACATATAATCAGGACACAAAAAAAATTAATTTTTTTCTTAATCGCATCGAATCATATTACAGAAAATATAGAGATATAGCCCTTGTTTAGTAAAAATTAAAATTAAAATTTTAATTTAAGTTAAAGTCAACTATTAATTTTAATCACATATTTTGTGGATCTACAACTTTTCAACTACGCATTTCATCAAAATTTATCAAAATCTGCTAAAAATCTAATTTTAATCTCAATCAAATATAAGGCTTTGATTTAAATCTTTAATATAAGGGCAAAGCGATTTGTTGATCAAATCAATTTCTTTGAATTTGCTTATAATTCACTCTAACTTAATTTTAATAAATTCCAAGTATTCGGTAGAATCAACTAGTATTCATTAATGGTACGAGTTTTTCGCTTCTTGGTGCATCAAGAGCCTTTTCAGTCGCCATAAACTAATTCAACCAGAGTTATTCCACTTGTTGACGTATATTTTCATTTCTTAATTTTACGGAACCGTTGCAGGCAGTCCGACGAATCTGAGAAAAGCTCCAGTGCTGAAGGAGGCCATGCCTGCAAGTGTGGATCAAACTGCACATGTGACCCATGCAACTGTTGATGACAGAATATGGTTTAAGCCCTTCAAAGTAGCTATGGATGATGTTGTGTGTACTAAACATAATATAATAAGACAGCCTTAAATTGGACAAATTCATTTACTGGATTTGTCTGGTGTGGTGTTTACTGGCTATTATCTCTGTAATTGTGTCTGTAATTTATATGTTTGCAGTTTGGTTACTGGCTTCAATTTCTGTGTGAAGACTTGACATCAATATAGCTCCTTTATTGTTGTGTGAACTTTCAATCAATTACCTTATCCTT